CATCATGATTAAAGGCCAAATCATATCATGATTAAAGGCCAAATCATATCATGAATAAAGGCCAAATCATATCATTATAAAAGGCCAAATCATATCATGATTAAAGGCCAAATCACATTATGATCAATGGCAAAATCATATAATGATTAAAGGCCAAATCACATTATGATCAATGGCAAACACATCATGATTAAAGGCTGAACCACATCATGATTAAAGGCTGAATCTCTTTACGTATCAACGTCACATCTCATGGAGACTAAAGTTTGAATCACATCGTGATTAAACGCCAAGCCTCATAACAATTAAAGTCTGAAACACATCACAACAAAAGGCTGGATAACATCGTGACTAAAGGCCAAATCACATCACAATTAAAGGCCAAACTAGATCACGATTAAAGGCTAAAACACAATGCAATTACAGGCTGAATCTCAACATTATTAAAGGCTGAAACACATCCCAGTTAAAGGCTAAAACACAATGCAATTAAAATCGGAGTCACATCGTAATAAAAGACATATTGTCACTTTGTAGCAAATCAATTCTTCCTACCTGTGTATCTTTAAACATTTAGATTGTAGGCAGTGTATAGATATTTGCATTGTATCACCACAGACCATTTGCACCACCCTAGTGACACCTGTTTCTCAGACTCTGATGACAAGAGGTAATGAAAATTTGGGTACAGCTTTTAAAAAATAACAAAGCTTTGGGTTAAATAATGCTTTTGTCATAACCTGTAAAGAAGAGGCACATAAAAACATTGATAAGACTTTCCTGTCTGGGAACATGTAATTTATGTGCTCATTCAGAAGGATCTTGTTTTGAACTTATCAGCACAATAAACACGGGGCTGAGCTAGATTTACTGACAGAGACAGCTATCAGAAGTTACAGATTGTAGTGAACGGACTAGTGTCTGTTTGGTATTTCGTCATGATCCTGATATATTTAAAGTGAAGTATTTGTAGCTCCCATGCTGCAGTGGTTTCCTCCTGAGTCCCTGTATGACTAAAGAGAGAGGGGAGCTGCTCTGAAACCTCAGAGCATCAAGAAAATTGCAGCAGAGCCATTGATCCTTTGAACAGCTACATGACAGATATGATGACGGTTGCAGAACTGTTCCCCCATAGAGAGGAACGGAGAGTGAGAAACAGACTCGACCACCCAAACAGCTATAAAATCTGAGTGAAACAGAGCGGCTGAAATGAGAGAATGCACTCAGAAGTCAGAGGGTTTATTTCAGGGACCGCTCCTGATTATAGTTTGGCCGGAGCTACAAACACAACTCAAGCCTGTGTGGGCTTCCAAACACTGACTGCAGTTAGACACCTTCGAGTGTAAACAGCTGATCTCGGAGCTAACCGAGGGAGACTGAAAGGAATCCAAAATCCACAGAGATGATCATCAAAGTCAAAAGCGCATCTCACTCATGGCGTTGTGAAGTTGTGCACGTGGCAGGTGGAGGAGCTGAGGGGGCGGCTGACAGAGAACAGAACCAGCTGTGCTTAATGGAAGGATCACTCATCACTAATGGAGACACGGGAGGTCACCGGCAAAACTGTGATGCAAGACTCTCTCATCGCACAGGCATCTTATCAGCTGCTCATCAATCAGAGAGTCGGAGGTTTGAACCCCAATGTGTCTATGTGCTGAACGGTCCCTGGGTTTGAGGCTGAACAGCACAAACACCTGTTCAGGTGTGAGCATGAGCAAACAACACTGACTGCTCAAAAACAGTTTCAATTTTACACACAGTAACATTTATAGGACTAGTTTTGACTGGGTATTATGTGGAAAGGTTGAGCAACTAATATATTATTGGTTAGTTATTGTGCTATTTGTTTTGAAATACAGTTGAATTATTTTCATTCATTCAACCTTTATTTAGACAGGTTAATCCCATTGAGCCTCGAGGACTCATTTACAAGAGAGACCTGATTTCAACAAAGAATGATGACAACAATGGACAATCATAAAAGAGGCATACAGATTTTTTTTTTTCAACAAATTAAAATAAGATGGCAAAAATAGCAAAAAAAATAAAAAATAGCTAGATCATAAGGCGAATATAGAAAACAAAAAACAGGAACATGTCTGCATTGGTCCCTGCCAGGAGTCCAACAGATTCTTAAAGCCACTTAGAGAGGTCATGGTCGAGAGCTTCAGATCTTTTTGTAAGATATTCCAGGAAACAGGAGCAGAGTAGGAGAAGGCCCTTTTGTCAAGTTCAGTCCGCACTGAGGGAACACTGCAGGTAATAATGTCCTGAGAGTGCACGCAGTAGCTGCACTCACGCTGAGACATGTAGGAGGAGATATACGAAGGCAGCAGACCAAGTTGATGAGCTCATGGCTAGTCTGAGCCACTGCTGTCAACTTTAAACAACTTAAGTGTGAAAGATATTAAAAAGGTTCATGGGTATGCAAATGTATTAACCTGTGGTTTTTGTCTATTGCTGAAAATATTGCTGAAAAAATATGTTCTTGCTGGAGCTTTCCTTGACTGCATGGAAAGTGCTACAGCTAGCTGCAGCTACTGCTACTATGTCCTTTTGCAAATCACCATACATGCAAATAACTGTATACCAGTTGGATTTTCATAAAATTAAAATAAAAAAACTAATCTAATTGCACATTTTAAAATTGGATTGAATTGACAACATGTACATTATTCAGATTTTGGATTTTGGTCTGAATTAGATTGCATATAATTTGATAAGAATTGTTTTGCTGATAATGTCCTGAGATGCCTTTTGTTGAGAAAAGCTGTTGCAAAAAACAAACAACAAAAAAAAACAAAAAAACAGATTTTATATGAAATTAACCCCCCTTTTGCAAACTGAAGTCATTCTAAGACAGCATGTTAATTGTGCATAACCTTCCAACGTTTTGAGACCATCTCACTTTATAAGAGCTGATCTATTACTTTAAGATGTAATAAAAAGTTTGCTATTAAAGATATGGGCTTTTATCACATTCTAACGTTAGGAAGCAGAGATTATTTGCAGCTGCACAAAATGGCAATTACTGTAAAAACTAGTGAATTTAAAGTTGTGTGATTTATTTAATGTTTAATTATAACGAAATACGCAAAAGCGACCAATGATATTGCACATATTTCAGCATTTGGCATGCGTTATTGAGCAGGGTTTGACAGCTGTCAGTTAAGATGGGTTCTATATCTCCCTACAAAAAACAAAGTTCAGTCACACAAAACCTGCAGCTCTGCCAGCATCACGTTAGAAAGGTGACTCTGCATTAGAGGTGGGTGCTGCAGGACATTAAGGCTGGGGTTGAATCTAAAAATCCGAAATGCAGCAGTTTAGTGGCAATGAGCTCATCACAACCGCATGAGACCACAACAGAACATTTCTTCTGCAGAAGCAGGCAGAAGTTGCAGCTGGAGCAGAGGCAGGTGAGGGTTTGCAGAAGTCGCGAGTGCTGCAGTGCACGCACACTCTGAAACCATTCCTGCACCTGTAGCCTGGATGTGACCAGAGGACAGATATCTGCTGTTTGCTGCGCGGTTCAAACTCCTGCAGCTGAAAGCTTTATGTCAGATCCAGGTCCAACACGGAGCTGAGATGATGCGAGCGCAGAGCTGCACGTGCACAAAGCTCCGTCCTGGTGATGCGGACAGCGCTGCATTCATTAGCAGAGAGACGCTGAGCTGCATCCATCCGTGCACGGTGGCAAAATGGACGACCGGCGCAGAGGAACACTAACCGGACAAATCACGCATTAGGTGGCACGTTTTACGCACAGATCAAAGCATCCTCTGTAGACCGATTCAACAGCCCCAACCCTGTGAATGCAGGAGGGAGGGGGTATATTTGCATAATGTACCCTAATTAGAGGCCCATTAAACAAAAACATAAAGAAGGTTGGACATCCTCGAATCTGTCGCTGCAAACATGACCCAGTCAAGTTCCAGACAAACCAGTGCAGCCTGTAAAAATCCCGCCTCAGTAAAGTGAGGCTGCAAAGAGCAAACATCAGGAGTCACAGCAGAAATGTGATCATTGCAGAAGGTCTTACCTGCAGCCTTTTTATGTAATTTCAGAGCTCCGTGGCGCGTTGCTCTCCCCAAGAGGAGACTGAAGGAAAAAAGAGGAGAGAGGGAGAGAGAGAGGGAGAGAGAGAGGGAGAGGGTGGGGGCCAAATGTACAAGTACATGAATTAATAGAAGGTCTGATGATGAGAATAAGCAGCAGCGAGAGGGCGAGAGGAGAGGGTTCACATTTGATCAGTGGAGAATAAAAAAGAGGAGAAAAAGAAATAAAAAAAGAGGCTACAGGAGACACGTCACTGAGCGCGGATTTGTCTGCGGTGGATGTGGTCGCTGCTTTGCTTGTGTGTAACCCCCCCCCCCCACACACACACACACACACACCACCTCTCCTCTCTCCTGCATCCATTCCTCTCAGACTGAAGCCTGACGCAGGCGGGTAACATCAATCCCAGATTATTACGATGATGGAACTGCAAGATCATTACGCGGGTACCCCCCCCCCCCCCCATCCTCCTCCCTCCTTTTTGTCATTCTAAGGGAACTGGTCTGGATGTGCTTATTGGAGCGTGTGCCGCGCGCGCGCTCTGTAAGTAGCCTGTTAGATCAGGTTCGACGTGTGTGTGTGTGTTTGATTTCTGTTTTCATTTAGTTTCAAATCGCTACACACTCCTCCTGTGTGGTGATGATGATGATGATGATGAAGGCAGCCCTGCAGAAAGAGAGGTGCTTCAAAAAAAAAAAAAAGGCATCCTCCAGATCATGATGTGTGTGAAAGGATGGAGGCGTCTACTGAGCCTTTTCATTGGATGATGTTACTACAATGGGATTATAAGGTTATAGTTTGATATACTGGATTATGTAACTAATATTTATGAAAATGGAGCTGGGGGGG